TCAAATTATCATTCAAACGTTCCAATTGTTGTTGATAACGCTCGGTGGTGATTGTTTCGTTCGGTTTAAGCAGCTCATAATACACGACACCTTCCATATCTCACTAAATACAGAGCATTGCTTTGTGACCGTGGATATTTCGCTTTGGAGTCGATATTGATGGTTGGCCAGGATCAACCCATGATTCTTTGCGTTTTGGGTTGTTGAAAAAGATCCATTTTTCATCGCCGGTCACGATACGCCACAAGAAACTCTTCTTATTATGCTTTGCAAGCAAAGAAATTGAGATGTTTAAACGGTTAGCAATGGCATTTTTGGTCAATTCATGTGGCTGTCATTTTCCTTCTTTCTGAATCTTTCCCATAGCTTGTAAACGTCGAAAAATAGTTGATTTATCGACTTTCAGTTGTTGAGACAATTCTTTGAGTGTTTGAGCTGGATTTTCTTCCAATAGAGCTTGCAGTTGTTCATCTTCGAATTTTTTCGGTTGACCTGTTCGTTGTTTGTCGTGAACGTCACAATCACCACTTTTGAATCGTCGAAACCAGTCTCTACATATCTCTATTTCCGATGGAGCAGATTCACCATAAATTTCCACAAGCAATCGATGAGTTTCAGCTGCACTTTTTTTCAAATCAAAATAGTGTAAAAGTACACATCGGAAAAACAACTTATCACGTTCCATTTTAATTCAGTTATAGAAAAGCACATATGTAAACAAGGATGACGTCTGTTGACTGAATTTTAGTAGGAAATGTTCACATTTAAAAATGATATAAGTAGCAGATGTCTCTGACCATAGCATACGCAGTTACTGCCATCTAAACGTGAACAGTGGCTTTTAATGCAAACCCCTAATATAATTCATATCGATTACCTTTCGTCGAAGCAAACGATCAATGGCGATTACTACGCTTATTGGACCGTTTCAACAACTTTTTAAAGAAAAAATGTCTCCATTTGGCGAAGAAGAAAGTGTTCTTCCATCAAGACAATGCACGGGTTCATATGTGCCTGTCACCGATGGCCAAATTCAACAAATTCCGCTACGAATTGCTTTTCCAGTATATTCGCCAGATTTAGCCCCCTGCGACTATTTCCTGTTTCCAAACTTGAAGAAATGGTTCGGAGGAAAGAGATTCATCACCAGAGAGCAGCTCATCGCCGAAACAGGGGCTTATTTTGAAGGGTTGGTCAAATCATATTATTATGACGGCTTGAAAAAGTTGGAGAATCGTTGGATCAAGTGTATCGAGCTGAAAGGAGACTATGTTGAAAAATAAAAATGAATCAAACAAAAAAATGTGTTTTACTATGTTTTTCTAAAAATTTATTGACTTGCTCTTGTATCTTTTCGGTTAGATTTTTATCTGTTTCCGAATTTTAATTTCATAGTTGTTAGGAAATATATTGCTAAGTAGTTCCATAAGAGATTGGATGTTGTTTACTCTGTTCACAAAAATAGGAGGAGATTTGACTGATTTTTCTTGGGTTAACTTCACCCGCGTTGTCTAGGGATCAAATCTATTTGCTACTGCTACTTGTACACCTAGCCAATATTCTTCCATTTTAGTTTGTTTAAATTTGTTCTGTTCCTCGGGATTATTTTTTGCCCTCTTTTCGCTGACAATATTCTAAATTTGGTTTTTGTCTTTTTTAGTTAAGAGAAGATGAGCGACTCATAGTATTTCTTTCGTTTATAATCGTTATGTGTATATGTATATATATGTATATATATATATATATACACATACTTGTCACTTTGTAATTGTGACATTGAGAATGACCTAATCGGGTTCGTCGTTTGTTGTTACACATATATATATATATATATAATATCGGAAGTGCCGGAAAAATCGTGATCACAGTTATGTGGGATACGCTGTATATTTAAAATAGATCGGTTTTAAACTGATCGATAAAGATATAAAAAAAATATATGTACAGACATCTAGTGGATGTACTGATGTTCACAACCTGTTGTTATACAGCTGATATTACATCTCAATTGATGTAAAGTGTGTCATTATGAATGCATACTAAAATAAAGAATGGGTCCCTCCATCGCCCATTCTTGTGAGAATGCAACCATATTTTCTTCGTCTCTCCGATTTTAACACAACCTTTAATATTTATTTCGATTGCAACAGAATGAAATTTTTAATATTGTATGAATATATTTTTTTTGGAGGAGGAGAAAAATCTTCACATAGTCCCTTATCCGGGATGCTCCCGAAGGAGAACATAACTTGATGAGAAGAAGATACCCAGGAACCGATCTCATGATTGCAGGATTCGATGTGCAGGAGCCTACGTCCTTCCTATAAGAAGGGACATCGCCTATCTGCTAAAAAACTATTCCCCTATTCAGCACTTCC